AGCCCACCCCCGGGGGGGGTTGCCGAAGGCCGTTCGGGAGGGGGGGGTTGCTGGGTTGCTGGGTTGCTGGGGGGGGCGGGGCGTCCTTCATGACCGCCTTGTTCAACAACAACAACAACAACAACAACAATCATTTTACCCGAACGCTCAGTGTTCTCCCCAGTGCCAGGGTTTTCATGCGACGCCAGCCAATACCCCCACTTCGTGGGGGGGCAATGCAAGCTCTACCAAACATCCACACGACTCTCGGGAACCACCCACACCCAGCTTCCCGCCCTATGACGTCAGGACACTTCACTTCGTGGCGCGCGGACGATCGTGGATACTACACTGGCGTGGAGTACACACCCGATGCCCAGGTGGCGGATGGCAGACCCGTGCTGCTCCTCCAGCTCCTTGGCGCTAGAAATACTGACCTTGCCAGTCACAACCCGATACTTGGCCCACCAAGTCTTGCACGCCTGGTGACTGGCATTGATACCCTTTGCCGCGAGCGCCTGATGCAAATAATACGCACTCTCGCAGTCGGCCAAGGGAGGCCGGGACAGCTCTGCGCCATACTGCTCGTGAAGGTTTTTCGCCGTCAAAGCCATGATCCAAGAACACAGGCGATACCTTGATCCGAGATGGCTACGGATATGAGCGTGAGAGGAAGGGGGGAAGCCTCCTGGGGCCGCTGGGGGTCCTCTTGGGGAAGGGGGGAAGCCTCCTGGCGCCGCATGGGGTCCTCTTGAGAGGCTTTGGGGGGATTCTTGAAAGCATGTTGGGGCCTCTTGGGGGCTTATTGGATCCTCCCGGAGGACTCTTGGAGCCGCTTGGACGCCTCCTGGGGCCATCTTGGGGGCCTCTTGGAGCCAACTTGGAGCCTCTTTGGAACCTCTTGGGGGCCTCTTGGAGTCCTCTTGGGGCCTCTTGGGACCATCTTGGGCGCCTCTTGCGGCCTCATGGGCGCCTCTTGGGGCCATCTTGAGCGCCTATTGGGGCCATCTTGGGTTTTAAAGATTCATGAAGAGCCCGCGGGTGGATTTTGATATTTTTCGGATGAGAAAGTCTTGCGTTTGCATATGTTTTCGGAACATCGCATCTTGAAATTATTGAAATCACATTATGTTTGGCAGGATTTCGGCACGCGCGCGCGGCGGCCGCGCGCATGTGCACTTCTTGTCATTTTTTGCAAGGGATGGTGGCCCTCGTAGGCTCGCAACCGTTGTTGCAGAAGGTCGAAGCACCTGAAAAGGTTCCTCGCAAAGGCCCTTTTAACAGAAATGTTAAAAATCTGGTGGGTTTCCTAGGAATCCGCAAGAGCGCGCGGAAGGACATTTTGACAATTTTTTCTGAGAAAAACATTGGGTTTTTGATGTTTTTATGTTAAAATCGTTACGAAACCTAAGGTTTTGGAAGGATTTCGTCTTGCGCGCACGAATGTCCACTTTACCTTATTTTTTGCAAGGGATTCTTGCAATTTGATCAAGTAAGAACAAGAATTTTCATGTTGTATTGTTTTTTGCAACGGAAAACGAGCGTCAACATAAAACCGGATCCGGGGGTAATCCACTTTTCTGAAGCTTTCGCGAAAAAATGATGAAAATGTAGCTGCGGCCTAGGCGCGGCGCAGAGGTCGCGCACCAGGGGTCCCAACAATAATAATTCTTTAGAAGGAATAATGTTCAACAACAACAACAACAACAACAACAACAACAACAACAACAACAACAACAACAACAACAACATCATGGTCACGCAGCTCATGAAGTTGGCAGAGCAAATGGCCACAATACACATTAATTACATCGACGAAAGTTGGCACCATGCAATCAACACAGCAGCAGGAGCCCCAACCAGCCCAACCGCACTGCTCCCAGCCCGCCCTCCTGCGAATCCACCGATCCATCCTTTTTCCGTCCCCTTTCCATCCGTCCTCTCTTCCCTTATTCCCGGGGCTGCACCCATTGCACGCGGCAGGTAAGGATGATATACCCACAGGGGGGGACGATCGAAAACGAAGAAGGCGGGCATAGAGGGTTTGGGATATACGCGTTGAATGGCACGTCAGCGAGAAAGAGCGAACAATATCAAACTGATTGTAGTCGTTGTTGTTGGTGGAAATGGTGGTGCTGGTATTCGATGTTGCCGTTCTTGTTGCAATTGCTGCTGCCGTTGGCGTCGGTGTTGGATTGTCGCTCCCAAAGAATAATTAGTGTCCATCCCTTCCCTCCAGTGACCACTCTGCACTTTTCAATAAAAGTGCTCCTCCCGGGGCTCGCACCCTGCTCTTTAGAAAGGACAATGAAGTGTCGCCAAACTGCGTTGTTGGCCCCGGGTCGGCAACAACAACGGCTCCCGCCGGATACTTCCTCACAATGAATTATAAGATCGCGCTCTCGCGCCGGACTGCATCACAATGTATGCAGGAATCGAGCTCACGCGTGGGACCTCCCCTCAATGTATTCAGACGCCGCGCCCTCGAAACTCAGGAATCTCGCGGTGGCCTCTCTCACGATTTACTTCGAAATCGCGCGTTCGCTCGAGTCTTCCTCGCTAGTCATGCATGACTCACGCTTCAGCAACCCGCCTTTTCGACCTGGCCGATTGGGCCCGCCTTCCCGACCCGCCCATTCTAACCCCCTCTTCTGCTACTCCCTCTCTCTCTTTCTCTCTTTCTCTCTCTAGTGTTCCTCTTGCCCCCTCTTTCCATCCGCTCCTCTTCCCCTGACCTATGGAGCTGCACGAAATACACTTTGCAGGTAAGAAAGAGATGCCCCAAAGAGGGCACCATCGAAGACGAAAAGGGCGGGTATCGAGGGTTGGAATATACGTGTTGAAGGGCGTGCGAGCAGATAAGAGCGAACCATATTAGTGTTGTTGCTGGTGTTGCTGTATATGTTGTTGGTGCCGCTGTTTTGTGATTGGTCCTTGCTGGTGTTGTTGCTGCTGTTGTTGTTGTTGCGTTGATGTTGTTGCGTTGCTGTCGTTCCACCCGCGACCCCGCCCGCGGCCCACTCGCGGCCCGCCCTCGATCCGCCCGCGACCCACCCGCGACCCACCCGCGACCCACCCCGCGACCCACCCCGCGACCCACCCGCGACCCACCCCGCGACCCACCCCCGACCCACCCCGCGACCCACCCCGCGACCGCCCCCTCACTCCTATCCGCAACTGCGGGGTGCTACAACATATCTACGTAGCACCCCGCACCTGCGGATGAGAGTGAGGGGGCGGGCGCGTGCGACGCGGGCGTCGAGCCGGCGGACCTCGTGGCCCCCACCTTCCCTGTCGATGGCGCCCTCCTCCTCCTCCTCCTGCTCCTCCTCCTCCTCCTCCTCCTCCTCTCCTCCTTCTCCCATGATCCTCCTTCCTCCTCCTCCTCCTACTCCTCCCCTCCCCTCTCCTCCCTTCCTCCTTTTCTCCTCCTCCTCCAACCAATAGCCGAGCAGCCGCCGCAGGTGCCGATTTGCGTGCTCTGACAAGTTCAGCGCGCGGGGGGGATCGCTGTTGGGCCACCCTGGAACGAATGCAAAAACAGCCCGCCGCAGGCGCCGAATTTTTGGCTTGTTCAGTGAACGTAGTTTGGGTCGCGGGTGGGTCGCGGGCTCTCCACCTCCACCTGGAAGGAATTCAAAAACAGCCCGCCGCAGGCGCCGAACATTTTGATTTGTACACTGAACGCGGCGGTTGGGTCGCAGGTTCTCCACCTGGAACGAATGCAAAAGAAACCCGCCGCAGGCGCCGAAACGGAAATTTTGGGTGGGTCGCGGGGTGGGTCGCGGGTGGGTCGCGGTGGGTCGCGGTGGGTCGCGGGTGGGTCGCGGGCGCGGTTTGGGTCGCGGGTGGGTCGCAGGTTCTCCACCTGGAACGAATGCAAAAGAAACCCGCCGCAGGCGCCGAAAATTTTGGGTGGGTCGCGGGGTGGGTCGCGGGTGGGTCGCGGGGGGGTCGCGGTGCGGTGCGGTGGGTCGCGGGCGCGGTTGGGTCGCGGGTGGGTCGCAGGTTCTCCAGGGGAACGAATCTGCCGCAGGCGCCGAAAATTTGGGTGGGTGGGTCGCGTGGGTCGCGGGGGTCGCGGTGGGTGGGTGGGCGCGGGCGCGGTTTGGGTCGCGGGGGTCGCAGGTTCTCCACCTGGAACGAATGCAAAAGAAACCGCGCAGGCGCCGAAATTTTGGGTGGGTCGCGGGGTGGGTCGGGGTGGGTCGCGGGTGGGTCGCGGATGGGTCGCCGGTGGGTCGCGGGTGGGTCGCCAGGGGGGTCTCGGGGTGGATCGCGGGCGGGTCGCGGGGTGGGTCGCGGGTGGGTCGCGGGTGGGTCGCGGGTGGGTCGCGGGATGGGTCGCGGGTGGGTCGCGGGGTGGGTCGCGGGTGGGTCGCGGGTGGGTCGCGGGGTGGGTCGTGGGTGGGTCGTAGCGGGGCGGGTCGCGGATGGGACGACGACAACAACAACAACAACAGCAACAACAACAAGAATCCGCATCGCGGAATTCCACTTCAGCCACGCACCCATGGACAGTGAATGACCGTTCGGTTCAGCCCCCTCAATCTGACATGCGCATACATACATATATAGTTTTACATATATAGTTTACATACATATATATACAACTGTATATATAATATAGATATATATATATATATATATATATATATATATGTATGCATGCTTATGTAGGTGTGTATATATATATCGGGGGAGAGAGATTAGACGAGAGCGGGAGAGAGACATGAAAGAGGAAGCGAAAGAGACATAGAGAGAGAGAGAAAGAGAGAGTGACAGAGAGTGATAAAAGAGAGGGAGAGAGAGAGAGAGAGAAAAAAAAAAAAAAAAAAAAGCAATCTATACATATATATATATATACATGAAAGAGAAAGAGAGAGAGAGAGAGAGACGGGCAGAGAAAGAGAGAGAGGGATGAAAGAGAGGGAGAGCGAGAAGGGAGCCAGAAAGCCCAGCTCCACGCATACCCGATTTACCTGGGCAGCGGACCGGAATCTCACGCTCGAGCGGAGGGACGTCGCCGGTGCCGCAGAAGCTGAGCTCCTCTCGACTCCCAGTGGGGGGGACCGTCCTGCTCCGCCTCCTGCTCCACCTTCCCTCCTCCCTTCCTCCTTCCTCCCTCCAGGCCCTCGGCTTCATCAGCGTCGCAATCCAAAAGAAAAAAAACAATCCATCCCTCCCTCCTCCCTCCTCCCTCCTCCCTCATGCTCCGCCTGCTCCCGAGGGTCTGGCAGCAGCCACCGCGGCAGAAGCCAAGAGCACAAACAGGCAGGCAGTGAAAAGAAGCAGCGCACGCAGCAAGCTGCACGCAAGTTATGCCACAACTGCTGCTGATGCAGCGGCACGTCGCAAAGACAGCCGACCGCATGCAACATGCACGCCGCGACGCGCGAGGGGACCGCCAACGGGGGGCGCAGAGAGGGAGACAGGCAGAGGGCGAGGCAGATAGAGAGTGAGAAAGGGGGGAGGCGGATGAGGGCCATGAAGACACGAAGAGAGCGAGCGAGGGGAGAAGATGACCGCGCTGCTAGCAGGCGTTCCTTGAGCCTGAAACCACCTCAAAGAGCTGCTTACGTCCCCCAAGCAAAGCCCCCGAAATCATCTGGAAACCCTACCGCCGAAGGAGAAGCTCCTCTGGAGGTCCCCAGAGGACCCATAATGTCTCTGGAGGCGTCCTGGGGTTCTCGGAGACCTCGCGAGTCCGCCGCCTAAATCCCCACACCCTCCAGAAGCGAGCGTCTAACAAAGAAAAACAATATCTCGATCCTCCATACTGCTCAAGGAGTAGGCGGCGACGGAGGAATAAGAGGAGAAGGAAAACTACCCGAAGCAGGCGGAGGGAAAGCTGGAGGAGAGGACGACGACGACGACGACGACGACGACGACGACGACGACGACGACGACGACAAGAAAGAGGAGAAAGAGGCGGGGGGGGGCGGGGCAGAAGCAGGCGGAGGGGGTGGAGGAGGAGGACGACGACGACGAGTAGAGAGAGGAGGAGAAGGAGGAGGAGGAAGCCCTGACCTCTCCTAAGCTGGGGGGGGGCGGCGTCCGCGGCGGGGATGCGCGCCGCGCCGCGCCATCGGGCCCGCCTGCGAGGTCGGAGCTCAGCGCGGCGGTCTCGCCCGCGGCCGCAGGTGCGGCTGACCTGAACTTGGCCAGCTTGATCTTGAGCTACGTTCTGCTGGCAGGAGCGGCCTGGCCATCATCAAGAAGGGCTACGAGACTATGACCGTCGGCGTGACCGACGAGACCTTGACCGCCATCATTGGCGAGACGGAGGCTACCGATGTCAGGGTCTGTGTGATTCTCGGCACCATCGTCGGAATTCTCGAATCGCAGGTGATCGAGCGTGGAGTCGTGCAGAGGCTGCTCGGCGTCGCGCTGCATCTTCGTTGCGCCGTGGCGAGGCCGCGGACGCCCAAGACGTTTGTTACCTGGTGCTGCACCATACAGCGCAGCTCTCCTTCGCCTTGCAGCAGGCGACGGCTGTGCAGAGGGGCAAAGACATTGTGTCCCCCGTGGAAGGCCAGCCGAACAAGGAGTACGTCAAGGTGGAGATCGGGCGCAGGACTGGCCTGAAGAAGTTCCAGGTGGCGACAGTCAACCTGGGTTGCGACGCCGACGGCTGCCACCGCGGCCAGGACGCGGACGCGAAGGTGATCGTGGAGCAAGACGTGGGTCATCGTGGAGGTGAGCTGGGTCATCGTGGAGGTGAGCTGGTTCAACGTGTAGGCGAGCTGGGTCAACGTGGAGGTGAGCTGGGTCATCACGGAGGTGAGCTTGGTCATCGTGGAGGTGAGCTGGGTCATCGTGGAGGTGAGCTGGATCATCGTGGAGGTGAGCTTGGTCATCGTGGAGGTGAGCTGGTTCAACGTGGAGGCGAGCTGGGTCATTGTGGAGGTGAGCTGGGTCCGTGGTGAGCTGGGTCATCGTGGAGGTGAGCTGGGTCATCACGGAGGCGAGCTGGGTCATCGTGGAGGTGAGCTGGGTCATCGTGGAGGTGAGCTGGCTCAACGTGATGGCCGGCACGGAGATGAGCTGGGTCATCGTGGAGGTGAGCGGGTCCACAGTGGAGGTGATCTGGTTCAACGCGGAGGCAAGCTGGGTCATCACGGAGGTGAGCTGGGTGAGAATGGGCTTCCCGAGGCTTGGCTACGCCTATGCGCCTGGCGTGCCAGTTCCAGCTCTGGCCAGTTCGTCCGTCGGCGCCAACGCCTCCTCCGTGCCGAACGCGCGAGGAGTGGCAGGATGACGAGGGATTGGTATTGGATTCTGACGCAGAAGGGGAGGGAACTACGGCTCATGACACGGAGGTGTTCGCGAGGATGCTAGTGAACGGCGTTGCGAGCGTGCTACGGGACAGAGCGCTTGCAGACAAAGGCGATCTCTCGATCAGCGAGTCGTCCAGGGAGTTCATGAACCAGTGGAAGTTTCCCTTCGACCCCCAGCAGGCTGGCGAGAGCGACGCGGTGGGTTTGCTGAAAAAGTGGCCCCGCAAGGTGGAGATGCGACACGACGGGGAGCAATACCTGCTCCGTCTCGCGGGAGTGACATAGGCGGGGCGTGAGTGATGCCTTTATGGAGGAGGAGGAGGAGGAGGAGGAGGAGGAGGAGGAGGAGGAGGAGGGTGGTTTGAGGAGACGGGGGAGACGGCGACGTTTGTGTTGTTTCGTTCCTCGGCGGCGATTACTGGCGACAGGGGTCGTGTGACCGCGAGCGGGTCACTCCCCGACAGGCCAGCTGGCCCTCGCGCCCTTGTCCAATCGAGCTCTCGCGATGTAGGCCTTGCGACTCTGGCCCATCGGCCTCTCTGCAAGCTCTGGCTGCTCGCAGGCGGCGTGTGCCTCCTGCCGTGCAGCCCGAGCCTTAAGGATCGAGGATCGAATGGAGGTGGAGGTGGAGGTGCGCAGGAGGTTGGAGGCTTTGTTGGAGGATGTTGCGATTCTGTGCTGCCTGCTAGCCTGCTCGGGGCCCTGGCGGCCTGGTGGATCTTCGACTCCTGGGGGTGCGGCAACTGCAGTCAGAGCCGGCCGCCATCACCGAGGCTCTTGCCGATCCATTCTGTATGAGATAAAGACCTTAGGCAGCTCCCCCGCTCAACCATCATGTTGCTGTTTGACGTATACCTTCTTCTTGCTGCTTCCTCTGTCTTCGTGCTGTTGCTCGCGTTCACCCCATCTCGTCCCCACCACAATCCCTGGTCCGTTCTTGCACTTCCTTCTACGCGCTCCTGTTGCGAACCTGTCTGTTTCGTCCTCGTGCTCCACGAGGCCGCCTGCCTTGTTGCCTCATCCGTCCGTGCGGACGAGGAGGCGTCTGCTCTTGCCCGCCTGCCGTCGGCAGGTCCCTGACGCCACAGGTGTGATCGCTTAGCGGCTTGCGCAGAAAAAGGAGGAGGAGGAAGAGGAGGACGAGGCGGAGCAGGAGGAGGAGGAGGGAGAGAGGAAGGGGGGGGGAGGAGGCGGCGGAAGAGCCGCTGGCGGGGCGCCCCCCCCATCCAGGACAGACGCGCCGCTGCCGCGGCAGAGCACGCCCGCCCCGCTCAGCACGCACTCGCCGGCCTGCCGCTGGGGGCGGGGCTGCCCGACCAGGGGCGGGGGGCACGACCGAAGTGGGCACAGAGGAAAGCTCCCAGGAGGCCCCAAAACTGCTCCCAAGAGGCCCCTGAGAGCGCCCCGAAGAAGCATCCCTGAGAACTCTGACGCACGACCCAGGCGCGGTGGCGGAACGGGCCGAAGGCCACTAGGTCCGCCGCCCCCTGTTGATCCATCACAGGGGTGCCTGGCGTGCTGGAACCGTTCGGTTTTGGTTCTGGCTCTTTTTCCACAAGAACTCCCCTTGGGGCTTCGGCGCGTCCCGCCGGCCACCCGAAAGGTCGGGAAAACTCTTCCAGACCCGATTGCAAATGGCTTTCCTGCTCCAGACGGCTCCAAGACGGCCCAAGATGGTCCCCAAGATGCATCCAAGACGGCCAAGATGGCCTCCAAGACGGCTCAGATGGCTCAAGGATGCCTCCAAGACGAGCCAAGATGCACTCAAGACAGCCTAAGATGGCATCAAGATGGCCCAAGACGGCCCCAGAGGCCCCCAAGAGGCCTCCAATACTGCCCAAGAGGCATCCAAGAGGTCCTTCAGAAGGCCCGAGGAGGCCGAAATCATTGATTTTCGTTTGGTTGTTGAAGGATTTTGGCATTTGCGTCTCTTGGCCTTTCCGTCGGCTGAGGACGGCCCAAGAGGCCTCCAAGATCGCCCCAGGATCGCCCAAGAGGCCTCCAAGATGGCCCCATGACGACCGAAGAGGCCCCCAAGACTCCCCCAGGAGGCCCTACGTAAGACGGCACAAGAAGCCTCCCAGACGCCCAGGATGGTCTCCAAGACGACCCAGAGAGGGCCCCAAGACGACTTCCGACGGCGTCAGACGGCCAGGAACGCCCCAAGACGGCCAAAGAGCCCCCCGAGAAGCCCCCAAGAAGCCTCCAAAGGCCCCCAGCAGGCCCAAGGAGGCCCCAAAGAGGCCTCGAAAGAAGCTCCCAGCAGGCCCCCAGGCTGCCCCATGAGAATCCCAAGAAGCCTCATCCTCCTACTCTTCCTCTTCTTCCTCATCGTCCTGTTCACGTTCACTCTCCTGCACGTGTTCCCCGAAAGCTTTCCAAACGGACTCGGGGAACTCATGGTCCGACAGCTTGGCCAGGCTCTAGCCCAACTCTCGGCCACATAGCGGTATCCAAAAAGGCAGGGTTTCGAAGATGGTCCTCAATGAGGTCAAGATGGCTCTCAATGGCCTCCAAGATGCCTCCAAGACGGCTAACATGCCCTCCAAGACGGCGAAGACGCAAGATGCCACCAACACGGCCCAAGATGTACCCAAGGCGGGCTATAATAACCTCAGGATGACCCAAGACTGCCAAAAAGGCCCCCTGGAGGCCTCCAAGACGGCACAGGAGGCCTCCAACAGGTCCTCCAGGAAGCCCGAAGAGGCCGAAATCCTTGATTTGTCCACAGTAGTGGAAGGATTTGGGTAGTTCCGCATTTTCGGGCGGATTAAAAAAACGACTCCCCAAGATCGTCAAGATTGGCCAAGGTGGATCCCAAGATGTCTCCAACATGGCCATGGTGGTCTCCAAGACGCTCAAATGGCCTTAATATGCTTCCAAGACCACCCAAGAGCTCAACACCAGAAAAATCCTCCAAGCCGGCTCAAGATGGCCTCCAGGATGGCCACGTTGGCCCAAGATGGCCTCCAAGATGGCCTCCAAGTCCGCCCAAGATGGTCCAAGATGGCCTCCAAGACGGCCCGAGAGAGTCCAAGGTAACTCCAGTTCGTCCAAGAAGCCTCCAAGACGGCCCAAGATGGCTCCAAGATGGACTAAGATTGCCCAAGAAGCCCCCAAGAGGCCTCCAAGATGGCCCCAATACAGCCCAAGAGGCCCCCAAGAAGGCCCCACGAAAACCCCAAAACGGCCCAAGAGGCCCCCAAGACACCCAAGATGGCCTCCAAGACGGCCAAGATTGCCTCCAAGATACCTCCAAGACAGCCAAGAAGGCCTCCAAGACGGCGAAGATGGCCCCAGGATGCACCCAAGACGGTCCCAGATGGCCTCAAGATAGCCTTAGACTGCCCACAAAAGGCCCGCAAGAGGCCTCGAAGACGGCCCAAGAGACTTCCAAGACGTCCTCCAGGAAGGCCCGAAATAGCCCAAATCATTGATTACCCGAAGGCTTTTGAGAGATTTTGGCATTTTCTTCGTTTCAGCTCTCCGCCGACCCAAGACGGCCAAAGAGGCCCCCAACATCGCCCCAAGAGCGCCCAAGAGGCCTCCAAGATGGCCCCAATACAGCCCAAGAGGCCCCCAAGAGGGCCCCAAGAAGGCCCCAAGGCAGCCCAAGAGGCCCCCAAGACGCCCAAGATGACCTTCAAGACGGCCAAGATGGCCTCCAAGATGCCTCCAAGACAGCCAAGATGGCCTCCAAGACCGCCAAGATGGCCCAATAGAGCTCAAGGGTGCCTCAAGAGGCTCTCAAGAGGCCTCCTCCTCCCTCTCCTTTTTCCTCCCCCTCCTCCTCTTCCTCCTTCCCCACGTGTTCCCCGAATGTTGTCCAAACCGACTCGGGGAACTCATGGTTCGATAGCTTGGCCAAGTTCTAGCCAAACTGTCGGCCACATAGGCGTTTCCAAAAAGGCAGGGGGCGGCGGTGATTCGCCGTAGGCGTCTTCGATCAGCCGCCCCCTGTGCTTGTCACAGGGGTGCCCGGCGTGCTAGGCCCTTTCGTTTTTGGTTTTGGTTTTTTTCCGGAAGAACTCTCCCCTGGGGCTTCGGCCCGTCCCGCCGGCCACCTGGAAGGCGCGGAATGTGCCGAAAAATGTTCCCAAGACGGCTCAAGATGGGTTTCAAGACCGCCAAGATGGCCCAAGATGGCCTCCAAGATGCCTCCAAGATGGCCTCCAAGACGGTTAAGATGGTTCCAAGATGCCTCCAAGACGGCCCAAAATGCACCCCAGACGGCCTTAAACGGCCTCAAGAAGTCCCAAGACAGCATCAGAGGCCTCCAAGAGGCCTCCAAGATGGCCCGAGAGGCCTCCAAGAGGTCCTCCACGAAGGCCCAAAGATGCCCAAATCATTGATTTTCCCTTGGTTCCTTCAAGGATGTTGGCACTTGTTTTCCGCTTTCCGAAGGCCCGAGACGGCCCGAGAACCCCCAAAGATCGACCCAAGATCGCCCAAGAGGCCGCCAAGATGGCCCCAGAACGGTCCAAGAGGCCGCCAAGACAACCCCAGGAGGGCCCGATGACGTCTGAAGAAGCCACCAAAACGCCCAATAGAGGCCCCCGAAAAGCCCCCAAAGGCCCCCAAGTGGCCCAAGGAGGCCCCCAAGATGCCTCCACGAGGCTCCCAGGAAGCTCCCTTGAGGCCCTACGAGTGTCCCAGAGGTTCCCAAGATGTCCCCTCCTCCGCCTCCTCCTCCCCCTCCTCCTCCTCCTCCTCCTCCTCCTCCTCCTCCCCCTCCTCCTCCTCATCATCATCCTCCTCCTCCTCGTCCTCCTCCTGCTGATCGTCCCCGCCATCCTCCCTTAAGTGTTCCCCGAAGGATTTCCACAACGGCTGGGGAAGCACATGGTCCGATAGCTTGGCAGAGCTCTAGCCACAACACTCGCCCACATGGGCGAGTCTAGAAGGCAGGGGGCGGCGGCGATTCGCCGTAGGCGTCTTCGATAGCACGATGCCCAGCAGTGGCCGTTGTTGGGCAAGCGGCCACTCTACCTCAGATGGGCAAGGCCTGCGGCGACGCCGACAGCGACTCCGATCCAATGGACAAGAACTGCTGTTGGTCTTCGCACCCATCCGCTCCGTCAAAATTGCGGTATTGCTGAACGGCAAGTATCGCGAGCGGCCAAAAGAGGGGGGCGTCCAAGAGAGGGGGGCGCAAATCATGGCCGGCGGCACGTGCGCTGCCCAGGGGGGGGCCAGGGACGTAATGAAATGAGAAGAGACGCCATGAGATCTGGGGGAAATCATGGCCCCCGCCATGATATCCCCCCCCACCGTAGGAATCACCCCCCTCTTGGCCGCCCCCGACAAATACTTGGGCCTCAGTCCGACCGGGCCACCGACGGCCGGAGGGGGACGCCCCGCTGAGGCTGCGACCTCGCGCCCGCCCCGCTACGCGGTCGATCCGCTCCTCGCGAGCGGCAGCCACATCGGGGCACAGAGAAACGAACAAAAAAAGATCGAGGCCGTCCATTTCGGCGTCCAGGAGCCACGTTCTGGGCCCCAGGGGGCCGCCAGAGTCGACGCAGGGCGATGGACCAACCTGGGGCCCGATTCTGAGCGGTTCCATCCAAACGTAGATCGACGGGCAAATCCCACCAGCCCTCTGGGCGTCGGTGGTTTAGAGAGTTTCCTCTTCCACCCCTCCTTCTTCCCCTTCGGGGAGGGGTTTACCCCTCCCCCTACCCCCTCCCCACGGACCTGGACAGGGGGGTTCGCGAGGTGTCGGAGCGTCCAAAACGGCCTCGGCGAGGAAGCCAACATCATTGGTTTTTCTATGGTTTTGGCCCCATTTTGGCCTCCTCAGGGGGGGGACCCTAATTAGTGCCCCCCATCCTGTGATCGATCTTACCCAAGATGGCCCAAAGATGGCCCCCAAGGCTCCCAAGAGGTGGCCAGGAAGCCCCAAGAGGCCCCCAGGATGCACCCAAGAGGCCCCCGAGAGACCCCCAAGAGGCCCCAAGAGACCCCCCAGAGGCATCCAAGATGCTCCAAGAGGCCTCGGCGAGAATGCCAAATCATTGATTTTACTAAGTTTTTGGCCACATGTTGGCCTCTTGGGGGGGGGGGCACCTTGGGGGGGGGCACTTCTTCCGCCTCCGCCTCCTCCTCCTCCTCCGCCTCCTCCTCCTCCTCCTCCTACCCCTCCTCCTCCTCCTCCTCCTCCTGCTCCTCCTGCTCCTCCTCCTCCCCCTCCTCCTCGTCCTCCTCCTCCTTCTCCTTCTCCTCGAACTCCTCATCAACCTACAAGGCCCATTTATCCTCCGGGACTCCTTTCCTTCATGGCGATCTCCTCTCGATCCCATACTCTCTGGAGTTTTCCGCGCCCTCCGCTGGCCGAGATTGGATCGCCGTGTGCGCAACAGGTGTCGAGGACGACGGGTGGGAATCATCGAAGGAACAGCTGGGGCTGCTGGGGCGGGGGGGGGAGCAACCACATGATTTCTTGTTGTTGCTCCTCTCCGCGAGCAGCCAGGTGCTCTGCCAATGAATGGCCCGCCCGAGCCACGAAGCTCCTGGAACTGTCGGGCGCCCCGGGGGCATGGCCGGGTGGTCTCCTGGACGGTGAGCAGAGGAAAGACGAAAAGAGGAGAGTGAGGAGGAGAGAAAAGGGGGAGGGCGAAGGCAGCGACGACGACGACGAGAACGACCATGACGACGACGACGACGACGACGACGACGACGACGACGACGACGACGACGACGTGGTATGGCAGCGAGCCTGCTGGCCAGCGACCACCTGCCCGGGGTCGCGCGGCAGGAACAGCGGCGACCTCCACCCGCCCTCGGCATGAAAGACTAGCCCCAGGAAAGGAAAAGAGACACCTTGGACCTCCGTTTGTACATGTCACCCTGTATATACAAATGTTCCATGTACACATACGTGCACGCGGATATACGAACGTACGCATATATCTGCATGTGCAAATGAATGCGTGTACACATATGCACACATGCATGTGTATGCGTTCATGCGAACACAATACGATACTATACATATAGACATAGCTATGTATATAGACAGGGCGATCGGAGCCCCAACAGCCCTCTGGGCGCAGGTGGCAGCAATTTTGAATTGTTTTGAACTGTCTTGGAGGCGTCCTAGCTGCCCTTGGGGTTCCTTGTCGTTTATGCATGCACTCTGCAGTATTCCTGGCCTCTGAGGGGGAGTCCTAAGACTGTTTTTGAAAAGCCGGGAAAAGGTCTGGAAGGCCCCGTACACAAATTGAACATTCAAGGCCCCAGCTTTTGGACCCCATGTCCTTCCCAGGTGATATAATGATGCATGTATGTATCTATGTGTATATATACAGATGTACAAGCACTACATCGACGATACCACTAGTCATTCCTAACCTTGCCGTTTTAAGGCGAGGATAAAATCGGGTGAGAATAAATCGAGAATCTCTGAGATCCGGCGGCCGCAGAGAGTGTCCTTGGTGCCGCGGCCTTCCCAAAGCGCTCCAGAACGATCTGAGAATGCTCCGGAACGCTCTGGAACGGATCGATCCTCGTCCTAGCACCGTCCGATTTTTCCTCCCTCCTCATCTAGAGGAAGAAAGAACAGCATACACATAAACTTTTGGAGGTCCGCGCGGATTTCTTGGATCTAGGCTAGAGCCCCCTCCCTGGCGAGGGGAGCGCGCCAGGGGCGGCGCCAGAGGCGGGCGCCGCCAGGTGGCCGCAGCACAGATCCAAGAAATCCGCGCGGCGCGCCCAAAATGTATGCTTATGCCGTTTTTGTTCTTCTTCGATCACCCTCCCTTCCCCCCATGCAGCTCCCTTCCCTTCCCCCCATTCTTCCTCGATCCTCCGCCCTTCTCGAGCACCCCTTTCTTCCTCGATCCTCTCTTGCCTCTCTTCCCTTCCTCCCCTCTCTTCTTCGACCATCTCTCTTCCTCCTCCCTCTCTTCTTCGATCCTCCTCCCCCCGTGCAGCTCCGACGAGGCCCAGGCGCTCGCCCCCCTGCCCCCCCCCCGAGCGACCCTGGCGCGCTGCCCAAGCGGACCCTCTCGCCCGAGAGCAGGAGCCCGGCCACCTCCGCGGAGACCGTGGCCTCTCGGGGCAGGCGTCCGTCGGGTCGGCCGGAGGAGGAGGCGGAGGCGGAGGAGGAGGAGGAGGAGGAGGACAGAGGAGTCGGCGGGGTGTTACTGAAGGCGCCCAGGGACGCACAAAAAATAGGCACAAATCCTGGTACCTTCACACATGTTCGAAATGTTTGTCCTACCCTCCACCTCCCCTGTTTTCAATGTCTTTTGGGGTATTGACGATGAGTTGTGTCTGTGTTTTTCCCTCCTGGATAAATGAGGTGAAGAAAGAGGCCGGCCCTGAAGGGGAGTTGAAGGGCCCCTTGTGGAGCCAATAGAGGTCCAAACGGGGCCCTAAAGGGCCCCTTGAGAAGCAGCGGTCTTCACCCTCCCTTCAGATCACTCCCCTGAACACCGGCCCAAGGGATGGAAGAAGGAAAACCTCCAGCGCGCGGACCCAAGCGCAGATCCAAGCTATCCACAAAAACACACACACACACAACACAAACAAATCTGGAATGCTGATGCTTCGTTGGTTGTTCGTCTTGCCTCGAGGGGGAGGGCAGTAAGGACCAGCATCTAATCGCGAAGCTGGATCGAAATCGGAATCGCGCCGAATATTTTGGAATCGGTGTTTAAATCGGCGATCGCCGCATCGGCTCAAAGTCGGCGGTCTCCTCGGTACGGACGCCCGTCCTTCGTCCCAGCCGCCCCCCAGAAGATCACCTCGGGCCCCCGCCAGCAGCAGACCACCCGGTATGAAAATGGGGTCCGAGCAGATGGGGTTCACACCCCTGTCACACGGCTGCGCCCCCTTGTAAAACATACTCTGCAGTGCACATGGCCGTGCTGCTCTCACCCCGATCACGCCCAGGAATCCCCAGGAATGCCTGGGAACGCACGTTTTCACGAGCAGACCTCCCACTCCTCGGCCCGCCTCTTCGGGAAGCCTCCTAGATGGGGTCTGAGTAGATGGGGTCGGAGGATCGCGGCGCATCGGCGATGCATCGGCGATGCGGCCCGATGTGGAACCCAATTTTCTCCACACCAACGTCGCCGATGCGTCGCCGATGTCTCGCCGATGCATCGGTGATGCATCGACGATGCGACCCGACCCTCCGACACCATCTGCTCCAACACCATTTGGGCGGCCTCTCCAAATGTCGCCATGAGGGGTCCTCCTCCTCATCCTCCTCCCTCGTCCTCCACCAACCCCCTCCTCCCCCCGCTGAGCAGCCCGGCCCTCCTCTGTCCTCCTCCTCCTCCTTCCCTCCCTTCTGCCTCGAGGGCGACGCATATTTGAGGGCAGAGCTACCGCAGACAAGTCTGCGAAACGCGGAGCCGCGTCTGTCCAACACCCCGAGCGGGAGCAGCAGGCATACAGGGCCCGCTACTACTGAGTGAAGGACAGTTTGGAGTTTCATGTCCGCCTTGGAGCGCTTTGCCGCGAGGTGGAGGACACAAAGAAAACGGAGTATGCCGTTCTGGAGGCGCCGGAAGGCCAAGCAGCGCCTGGCGGCTAGTCCGCCGCCCGCGGAGGATCGGGCACTCCTGATACAACTAGCTCGAGACAAGGACCACCGACTTGTATTCAGGGTGGACCACGGTCTCTGCAAGAACTGTCGCCGCTTCGCGCAGGAGCAGCGGCAACGCACTTACTGCCAAGGCGCGCGTGCCTGCCAGCCCGCGCACGGCCAGTGGTAGATTGAAACGACTGTGGAGTGGACAGCGCCCTACGGCAGGGAAGCCTTTCACTTAATGTTGGTGTTGGCGTATCCCCACCTGCGTCAGTCGTTGGTGGAGAGGTGCTGCCCATACCTCTTGCCAGCTCTGCTCTTGCCTGCGAGTTCGCTTTACAACCAAAAATCATCCCAACGAAAAAATAGCCCCTCCTCCATCCCTCCCCCCCTTCTCCCCTCCTCGTCCCCCTCCCACATACCCACCCCCCTCCTCCTACGCTTGCCTCATCCTTATCCCCCTTCCCCTCCGTCCCTTCCCCTCGTGCGACGCCCTACGGAACAACGATTCCAGCAATGGATGGGGGATTACGACTACGTACTACGTATGAAAATATGAATGTAGAAGGAAAAGCAAACGAGGAACAACAACGACGAGAACGTATCCACCAGCTTTTTACGTGTGCGGAGCGCCTTCGTCCACCGATACCTTTTATGTGTTCAATATACTGCCAAATGGACATGACAAGGTTCGCACAATGTGGACCTTGGCAGGGGCGATCATGATTCGCAGGCAATCGGAGAGAGCAGGTAATATGTGTTGAAGAAGGCCCACGAGACCATCGTCAGCTTCGAGATCACGCCGAACAAGCAAGTCGCCGACGTGGGAATCAACATCAGAACGTTGCAGAACCAAACACACTCGATGACCATGAGCTTGGCCAGGTGCAGATCAAACGAGATGAGTGAATCCCACGAAGGAATCGAAAGGTCCGAAAAGCACAAAGATACTCCAGCATCAGCTCAAAAAGACATGTTTCTTCTTGCCCACGTTTGTTTCCCGGGTAACGTTTACTTTGGGGGGGGTCGGGCGGGAGTGTAACAGTAACGGCGGCCGTGGCGTGCGCCCGCCAGGGTGCGTCCGCGACACTGGCGCATCAATCACTTGTGTGCACCGCACTCCCTTTGTAGACGACAATGCCCAATGCCTGCGTGCAACGCAGCGCCACGTGTGTACACACCACACTGCCTCCGTACACCACGACAACCGCGTGCACTGCAGCACCACGTCGCCTTTGCACACCGCACAGCCTGTATACTGCAACAGCCGTGTGCGCAACAGCGCCCCCGTGCACCGCATTGCCTGCGTGCGCCAAAATACCAGCACCGTGAAAGTGGATCACCTCAAGATACCACATACAACAACTATTCAATATGATATTACGCCCGTGGACTCTACAGACAAACCTGGTTTATAATAGGATGTTTACAAGAAACCCTATTTAAATAAAAAACGGATTCCATAGAACGCGATTTTGTCTATATATATACATTTATATATATATGTATGCATATATATGTGTGTCCTTACATATGTATATATACATACATAATAAACGTCCGAATAATCGCAATGAGAAACGGAGCGCGTGTAGGTTCCACAAGGAACTTGCGCTTGATTCGTAAGCGAACAGGCCCAAGTAACTTATGGCGCCCGAACTGCGCCCGAATGGTTCCCGAATTGAATGCACGATGCTTCAATGATTACGCGGCGTCGCGTTGTTTTTTCGCGCCTGCGCATCAGCCTGCGAGGGCAACATTGCCCGCGGATCGGGGGCCAACGTCGCCACGACAACGGCGCACATCGCATGCGGATGTGCGCGCGGCGGCTGGAGGCTACAACGTTGGCGCGATCATCGCATGCTCGAGGTCGCCCGGACGAAAGCGCGTGCGTGCTCTCGCGCACCGCCCGGTCGGTTCTGACACGGCGCGAAGGCCCGATTGGGCCGCGCGAGGCGGGCGCGGCGGCAAGCGCGCAGCTCGGGGTCGAGCGCGGCGCGCGCGCGCGGAAACGCCGCCAACATGTCAACTCTTCTGCGCGACGCACCGACGATTGGATATCGGGGGCGCGCGCGCGGGAACAGGGTCGCAATGCAAGAGGCGGAGGTCGGGCGCAAGCACGCAACGAGGCGCCCCCTCATAACGCCATTGCGGCAAGGCGGGACGAAAGGGAGACTCCTGGGCGATGCAGTTGTTCTCGAAGAGGCCGCGCGATTCAGCCGCGCGAAGACACGCGCACACGCAACCCACGATGTCCTCGATTGCGGGGCCCATGAGACGCCAAGCGCAGACGCCACTGGCATAGAAAAACGAACGCGATCCGGGCGATCCCCTGAGGGCGGCACGGTTTAGTCGATACCGCCCCGACATTCGAGAGCCCTTCTCGAAGCACTGCTGGAGGTCCTCTCAGGGCCTGGTTGGAACATTTCGGGGGTTGTCTGGGCCGTCTAGGGACAGCACTGGGTCGCTGCGCGACATCGCTCAAAATGGCGCCTCCTATGTTGAAGTCTCACCTGCAGGCGGTCACCCTCCGCCCCCCGCCCCGCCCTCCTTCTCGTCTCCCGTTGATGCGATGCGATGCGACCACCGTTGCGGACATCGTCCGGGCCTAGGGCAGGCCAGGTGGGTGAGGCCATGACCTCTAGGATCTGAGGTGTCTGGATTCATGCAATGCGAGACATGTAGAAGGTTAGGAGGTGAAGGGGGGGAGGAGGAGGAAAAGAAAGTCCTTGGTGTCGGTGTCGGCGCGGGTTGGGCGAGATCACGTCATTGGTCTGAGTCCCGGGTGTTGGTCGACGTGAGGTCGGTGAAGTGGTGCTCGAGCGCTGTCCATGCTTCGGTGTCTTGGGCTGTTTGCGTCCATGTGATGTCGTTCGGTTGTCCTTTCGAATGGGCTTGCGTGGGCGGTCGGTGGAGGTCTGGTCTGCGTTGACGTAAGTAAGTGGTGACTTCGTCGTCCCAGCGCTTGTTTTGGCCACCGTGCTGCCTGTGTCCCTGCTGGCGCGGGTTGAGGACTGGGTGCCAGCGCAGCACTCGCCATGTCCACCTCGTCCAGTCGTGGGTTGCGACTCGTGAAGCCATGCGCCAGACTTTCCGTTTGTGTAGCATCTCCCAATTGTCGATGTGGTGAAGCTTCATGAGGTGCTCTGCGCGTCGCGTCGCTCGCTGGATGTAGTCGACCCATGGTTCCATTCCGTCTGCGGTGGAGCTGTCTTCGCCGTCTTCGCTGTGCTTGTCAGGCGTGTCAGGTGCATCACGCTGTGATGGGTTGCTGTCTGCGTCGTCACTAGTGCTGTTGGTGCGGTCTTCGTGGTCTTGTGCGTCGTTGTTCGCGCCGTCGAGATTCGGTCCCTGGCCGCTGTGAGGGCCGGCTTGCTTTGTTGTGCGTCTCCGTGGCGTTCTGACGATCATGCGAAGCATGCGTCGCTGTGTGCGTCGTAGATGCTGCCGTAGAGGCTCCGTGAGGGTCCACGTCTCTGCTCCGTATAACGCTGTTGGTGCTACAGTGTTGC